CACACACACACACACACTAAATAAATGTTTAAAAAAAAAAAAAACTTTCTCCATGGAGGGTGTACTGTTATCTGACAGAGTAGGGGGCTGCCTTTTCAGGTTCTTGGAATACAGAACAAAAATGGACAGGACACGTGGGAAAGGTGTACATTTATTGAAGGTGGGAAAGGTATTTCAGAGGCTGAAGCAGGAGGATCGCTGTGGGCTCCCTAGTGAATTGGTCTTTGGTATCCAAGTTCCTGGATTGGCTTCTCCCTTGTGCAAATAAAAGACCTGGACATTTGTCCTATCAAAAATGTACTCGGCCTGCCACCAGACTAAAACCATCCTGTGGAAAGCTTTGACTTCCCAGCAGATGCAAATAAAGAATTGAAAATACCGCTTCCTGATTATCCCCAGGTATAGTGCTTAGTTTAGGGAAGGGTCTACAGGGTGTTCAGGGTCTCACTACTAGATTGGACTGGTAGTGATCTGCCTGTTTACAGCCTCCCAAGAGCTGGGATTACTTACAGGCTTGCGCCACCATGCTGTCTCAATCAGTGGCTCAGCATGCCCTGGGGGCAGGGCCAGCACAGCACTCTGAGGATCAAAGCCCAAACACTGTATCTGCCTAAGCAGCTGCTGTAACCCACTGTGCTATTTGGCTGGCCCTCCTTTTTGTCTTTTTGAGAAAGGTTCTCACTATGTCGTTCAGTTGGCCTTGAACTCACCAGGTAGTCCAGGCTGGTCTCTGACTTGCAGTGATCCTTCTGCTTCAGCCTCCCAAGTGCTGGGATTACAGATTACAAGTGCTGGGATTACAGATTACAAATGCTGGGATTACAGATTACAAGCATGTGCCACCATGCCCCACCTCCAGTCCTCTTAAAATTTTATTTATTTTTTTGTAACAGGGTCTTGCTAACTTACTGAAGTACCCAACCTTCCAGAGCGCTGGAATGTCAGGAGTGCGCCATTACTCCTGATTGACATTTTTTTCAACAAAATTTTAATTTTATTCATTTATTTCTTTGCTACAGGGTCTTGCTGTGCAGTATGGCATCAGGTACTGGGGATCGAACTGAAGTCCTTCATTTGCTGGGCAGATT